TTCGTACAAATTGCATTGATTGCTTAGATCGCACAAATGTTGTGCAAAGTATGTTGGCAAAACGATCTTTGAATCATGTACTTCAAAAACTTGGCATACTAAGCATTGGGCAAAAAGTTGAAAACGCTTCTCCACAGTTTGAAGCGTTGTTCAAAGCAGTAAGTAAATATTAAGTATTAAGCTGTAAATCTACTAATATGCATTAATTATATTGATTGTAGGTTTGGGCTGATAATGCAGATCTTATTTCATTACAATATTCTGGAACTGGTGCCTTAAAAACCGATTTCACACGCACTGGAAAACGTACTAAAGCTGGTCTTCTACAAGATGGATCCAATTCTTTGACACGTTACTATTATAATAACTTTTCTGATGGTTTTAGACAGGTGCGTATTTTTCAATGTGCTGTTTTACTGTATTAAAGTTTTCTACCGAAGCTTACAAATTGTTAGAATGTAGTTTGTATAAACTATATACAAAATAGAATTTTCCAAAACTTACAAAAATATTTAATTTTTAATAAAAATTAAACGAAAGAAGTTTATCATCAATTTATAACCAAAACTCAATTATATATATGAACCCGTCAAATGAGAAGCAATGTCTTCGTATGTTTTAACCGAACAAGCCAAAGCTCCATAAAACGTTCGTTGTTAAAATTGCACGTTTTTTTTATTACTTTTATCTTTTTGTCTCAAAAGATAACAACCAAATATAGAAATTGCAATAAACTATTATAATTTTTTAATCTTAACAGGTTTTTTGAATTATTATGCTAATTGATTATGTGTATAGCATGAAATTGCATTTAATTAATAACATAAATATCAATTTTTATTTTAATAGGATAGCATCGATTTATTCCTCGGCAATTATAGTGTTAACGACAGTGAAGGGAATTTAATACCATCACCGCTTGTAGTCAAAAAAGGCTGGCGTTATAATACGGTATGTATTAGGACTTCTTAAATGTTAGAAAAAAAATGTCTAAAAGAAAAATTTTTTGTTTGAAACAGTTCCCATCTGTGTTTGTATTCGCAGTCGCAATGTTCTTCATATCTGCCGTTTTTCCTGCAGAATTCGATACAGAAAGCCTATTATTTATTCTATTTTGGGGTGCAATGATTGGTGTCAGTACTAGTGGCATACTACATTATGGTATTGAGTTCGTTGATTGGCCGCGGTTATTTCCTCCCATCAAAATTGAAGCATAGCATAACTGACTCGACGGACATTTTTTGTGTTTAATACCAAGTACGCAAAGTAATAAGTAGTAGCAAAAATTATATTTATGTTAAGAAAATGTTTACACACGAAAGCTCATTCAAATAATTAAATTGTAGTTAACAAACAAATCTAAATTTCTTTCTAATGCTTCATTTGAAAAGGTAATCAATCTTATGTACGAGTATTTTACACTAAATTGCAAAACATTTTATGTAGTAAAACGTTTTCTAAGCTACGAATATACTGTACCGCACACATACAGAAACGAATATACTGTACGAAATTAATAAAAAAAATTAATCCCAGATTAAAATTGTTCTTTTTTTTCATTGTTTTTCTTATTAAGCATTAATATTAATTAATATTTTTGAGAGTTAAATGGGTAAATCACTGGCATTAAAGATAGCGTAAACATTTGTTCTATTATTTATAATATCAAATATATAAATAAGCGAATCAACCCTAATGGAACCAAATTTTTAAAAGATTGCTGCACTGACTTAATTTGTTCCAGATAGAATTTTTGTTAAATTATACAAAATGAATTTAACATATATACAAATATTTAATTAAATATTTTTAAAATTTACATTTACAACCTTTTTGAAGGATTATTTAAAACCAAACAAAAAGCAATTACACACAACTGTTTAAAGACATATGCATAATGCACTAAACTAATAGCATATAAAAGTTATATGGATGAAATAATTCAAAATAACTTCCAATACTTTACAACCTTATCATTTCTAGGTAATGCCAACGCCAGAGGACGCTCAAAAGCAAGCGCATATTGCTTTGATTTCTTCGCAATTTCTTGATCAAATATCTGAAAATAGAGCAACATATTGTAATAAATAGAGAACATTTTATATACAATTCAAAATACATCTTCTTCTTTAATGTCCAAGACTGTTGATAAATCCCATTCCGTTGTTGGTAGTGGCTGTGATATAAATTTAGCTGTATTTGCAACAGAGGGTACAGCATGCTTTTGTAGCGCAATTATTTCCCACAACGAACTTTCTATTGCATTCGATTTAGTTGGTTCACGTTCTTCCATTACATATGGATCTCGAGATACTTAACATGTAAATATGACAAATTCGTTCGAAATATTATTCTTTTTAATGTTTTTAACTTTAATATTGAAGGCCGACTTACATTCAGCAGGGGAATATGCACATATTAAACGCTTTAAGCCAGAATGCCGTAGTAATAGATTACCAATGAAGTACATAACTATTATAGCGTCTTGCGGTGGTGCAATCAGACTTAAGCGCGCCAACCGCTTAGCAAAAGCAGCAACTAAACTTTCAGGCAAATGTGTAGAACTCAAAAAAATGTCCGCCAAATAAAAAAGTCTAGCTTTATATTTAGTATGGAATATTTCCGGTTCAAACATTGAATAAAGTTTCTCATAAATGTTTGGATATGTTATGTTGTGTTTTTGAATTAATGTAAATATGCCTTGTAATGCTAATAAACTTACAGCGCCACCTAAAAAATTTATCTATTTTAAAATATAAAAACGATAAAAACCGTTATAGTTTAATATTACCATAGTCTAGTGAATCCATTAAAAAATCAGTTAAAAGAACCGGTTTATCCAGATGTACCATAAAACGTTCCAACAATACTATTAGTAATTGTCTATGCACACTTTCCTGTATATTATCAATCCACTGCATTAATGAATTCCAGACTCGATTAATCCATTTTTTTATTAAAACATAAAAATTATCTATAGGTAAGTTTTTAAGCGCACATAATATTTTCACATCTTCTTGCAATGCTTTCGTAACTGGAATTGCATTTATAAATTCCAAGTAATTTAAAGCAAAAGTTTCATTTGCAAATAATGTTTTATTTCCCAAATTATGAAGCAATTTCCAGCTATAAAACACTATGTCCATATACTCCGCATACTCTTTAAATCGATATATTATTGCAGTTTGCTGCTTATGAGGCGACAATATTTTTTTTAATATATTTTGCAATCTTTTCTTTGGGAAAGGATATGTATTATTTTTAGATAACGGATATTTCCCTTCTGTGGACAACAATTTCATGCAAGTAACAACAGCCTGCGCGGCCTCATGCGCTTTCTCATGTTCAATATTTTTCAATATTAAGTCTAATGCTTCTTCATACCGCTCAAGCAGCCACGAATGATATTGAGTTTCTGTGTCATCTGCTAATAATTACAATAAAACAAATATTTGTTTAAATAAAAGTAAATTTGTTTAATTTTTCGTTGTATACCTTTTGTTGTCGATGTGTTGATTTCTACATTCATTTCATTTCTCTTTAGCAACTCCTTGAAAATCACTTCTAAAGTAAGAATCGGTGCTGTAGTAGGTAAATTTTCATCCATGCATTTCTGCAAAAGTATACAAAAATATTAAAATAATTTTAAATAGTAAATAAACACTTGTCAACATTTACTTACTTGTAAATATGCAATTATATCGACAAGATTATTGGCATGTCGCCTAGAATTAAGAAAATCGTTTGCCTTGGAACGCAACTCTTTAGATATATTTTTATTATATTGTGAAATATTTGTTTTCGCATCAATATCCATCATAGCTTATCAAGAGGCTTAAATATATTATTACATAAAAATTATATATTTGTTGAAAATTTGTTTATTCGCTTAAATCACAATTGATACAATATTAAACGTGGTTCTTATTAAACTATTTTAAATTTGTATTACTTTGGAAGAATTTATAAACACTACGTACTGCAACCCCGACAACTGCTGCTAGCAGAGTTGTGTTAAGTAAATTTATACAAAAATAGAAATTTTAAATAGAAATTTTATTAGTTTTAACGGAATAAATATATATAATATATAAATATATGAAAAAAATTATGAATTTTAAAAATGTTTATACATTTTTTAATCAAATATCGTTTAATTTTGTTGCCGATTCATGTAATTATATACAGTAAGAACAGAAGTACAAAATATTACGACTCTATAGATAATTCAACATAGTGGTGAATATACAAAAATTGTAAACAACCAAGTGCTGCACATGTGTTAAAATCAACAAACAATAAATAAAAAGGAATCATTGTGATCCAATGGCTGAAGAAGTCTTTCAACCTGTACAAACTCGTGCCTCATTAACCTATGCTAAAAGAAATAAATGTAATGAATTTAAAGCATTGCATTTTATTGAACCAAAAATTAGTGCCAGTACTTCAGCAAGAGATGGTATTGACCAACAAAATGCTGCCGAAAATATTCATAAATTTAAAACAGAAAAGCAAAATGAAAATAAAATTAAAGACAAGAATGAATTTGATATTAAAACGGCGAGACATGAAGTTTTAAAATTTGCAATGAATAACCAACGAGTAATCAAAAATCAAAAAAAAATGTTAGTTTTTCAAGCAGTTAAACTAGGCGCCAAACCTCCCAAGAAAGCATATAAAAATTATAAGGAATTAAAAGATGAACGGAAGAGACTTAAAGATATTAGAGAGCAAAGAAAAAAGTTCCATCAATTGGGAAAGAACCAAACCGGCGCTGCTTCAGTGAAATGTCGCAGTAAAACGAAATTGGATAAACTAAAAAAGAAACGGGCCCCAGTTTCAAGAATAGATCAAAATTATGGTGTTGTTAAATCAAAAAAGAAATAAGAATAATATTACCTAAATTTATAATTAATTAGTAATGAATAAAATGCAAATATAACTTAAGATGACTGCCTTTTTTCTAATTTTCTAGTTTTCTTTTTCACCACTTTCAACTGTCAATGCTTTTGACATTTGTTTTTGTATTGTGATTACGTGAATTTCACAAGCATTTTTCTAAAACATAAAAATGCGTGCAAATTTTGGAGTTTTACACAGAATTGTACATCGTGCGTTTAGTCAAACGGGTGGGGAAATAAAATCGACTACGAAAGCCAGTAATGCTGCTAGCTCACCCACATCGATTAACACTAATGTGAAAGGACTTAGTAGCAACTGTGTTGAACCTACCAGCACCCCAGTTGGACCCGGAGCTGCCCCAAATGCACCTTATAAAGTGATGGAATATTTTTGTTTCAACCGTTTTAGTTATGCAGAAGCAGAAGTTGAAATGGCAAAGTTCCGTTGCCCACAACCATCAGCTATAAAGAAGTAAATGAAACAAAAAAAATTTCATCTCAAAGAATAATTTATTCTTAATGTAATATTAATTGATGCAATAAAAGAAATGTATGAATATATTTTGTATTTGTTATTGTATAAAAGTTCTCAAACAATCATTTCTAGCTCTCTAGCATAAAATATAGCTTGCTCTGCTAACTCAATTGTTGGTAAGATTTCTTTAGGCTTTGCAGTTTTATCAATGAAATTATAAATGCCATCAGAACTTAAAAGCCAATTCCGTTTTTGACCAATTGCTCTTACTTCATCAACAGATTTTAAATTAAGACGCCTTGCAGCTTCCTTCGGTGAAATCTTTTCGTATGACTTTTCAATACAAGCTCCGATTTCGTCTCGTACAGTATCCAGTAACGTATCCATAAAATAATTATATATTTCAGATGGCGCAGAATTCTGGAAATCAGTAACTTATACATATACATTTATTATACAAGTCTACAAATTTCATACCTTGGCTTGGAATATTTTATTGTATCTGCCTTCCATTATATACTGCTCAAGTGCCAATATTGGACGTATATATTGGTTTTTTTGAATAACTTCAGCTGACAATAACTCTAATTCGGTATGAAATTCAGAGACGCGAATTACTGATAATAAATACAATAAATTTAATCCTAGTAATTTGTACATATTCTCTGATTCGCCGATCTCTTGTCTAAAATGTAAGATGATAATAGATAATAGAATATTATTTCACATAAATAAATAACTCACTTGTAATCATAGTAGTAACATTTTAATTGGGACATATAACGTTCAAAAGCTGGTATGTCTTTGTTGGCGACACTATATTCTACGGCAATTTCAAGCACGTCACGAGCTAAAATTAATTCATGTTTTGAAGACTTCAGATCACCAGTTGGCAAATAAGAGAGTTTCGTAAGTGCAATCTAAAAGATATATGGGTAAATATGAGAATAATTCTTATATATATATATATAGTGCAGAATATTTTATACATCTTATTGACTACCTTTAACTTATCAAGAATCTGCCCACATTTTTTCAAATTCCTTGGTTTTTTTATCCACTCGGATTTAAGTTCTTTGTAGAAATTTTCAATGCTCACTATTTCAGCAGACATTATTAACTCAAAAAAAAATCAGCAAGATGAAACTAGTAATGAATTGCTAAAATTGAAATTTTTTTTAATTGTTGTATTTCCTAAACGTCAGCGATGAATTTGGAGAATTATGAACTGTCAAATAATTATATTTTTGACAACTTACTAATCTATTACTTTATCAATTAGAAAATAATATCAATGATATGTTTTTAACAACTTTAAAAATTAACAAGTTATCTAATTGTTAAATTAAAAAAAGAAAAAACCTTCTACACTTCATAATATTTATTCAATTTTCGTAAAAATGTAGAGTATTAAAATTCCAAACTTGAAATGCCAAATTGTTATTGATGGAGAACAGTATCTTGTTCGCTCTCGCATCTGTGCTGTCGAGTACAACGAACTAAGTAGAACAAAGTACACACTATGTGCATCTTTTATTTAGATTTACCAGTGCCATTTTATTTGTGAAATGTCATAAAGCGTTGGTTAATGGCACATTAAAAATTGTCGCGTAGAAATAATTAGTTATTTTACACGGTTTGTAGTAAAAATTAAAATTATAAAAGAAGGACAACATAAACTGGTGAATCATAGTGCATTTAATGTATTGCTATATAGAAAATTAATAAAATTTCAACTGCCTAATTAATGTGTAAATTACACAGGAATTTAGTAGCTGAAAGCAGTGAATTTTTCAAGCGCGGGAATATATGTTTTATGTGATTTGTTTTAATTGAATGCTTGGTGTAATAAATTATTTTATACGAAAGTTGCGAACTCTTAAAGTGTAAGAAACAGAAAAGTAAAATTTATAGTTTTGTTTGGCATCATTTTCATTTCATTGCAGTACAGTTGTGGCAAAACTAATTTGTGGTTATAATTTATTATTAAAGAGCGCACAAATGGAATATGTACTTATTATATAAAATATGTCTATAGTTGCAATAATACAATGGTAATTTCACAAACTGACAAATTTGAATCAGAACCACATAATGGGAACTTTGTAGGATTATATTGTTTTAGTATGTGCTTGACTTGCAGTGTTGTTTTTGTTTTTTCGTTAAATAATATATTTTGCTATTAAAAAATATCAGCACTCGATGTATATTAATATATAAATATTCAATATGTAGTCTATGAAAAATTATAAACCCGCCAGAATATATATTTCTTATACGACAAAATACGAGAAGCGTTGCCAGACGCTGGGGTGTGTAAACCAATCATTTTTATAATTGTTTAGTTTGAGTTCTTTAAAGATACCATATATAATTGAACGGTTGTAAATTATATATTTCTATATGCATATTAATGTGTTGTTTATTTATGAAACAGCCTTTATAAGATTAAAAACAAATTTTTCTAGTAAGAAATTGTTAAAATTTCTGTATCATAATTCTATATTGCTTATATTGATAACCCAGGCAAGAAACTTCTTGGAACTTGTTAGTTTTTTGAAAAGGCAAATAAATTAATTCGGCTTGTCGAGTATTGGTGATATTTTAAAGTGACCTTTAATGATAATATCAGTAGTGTAATATCATCACCATTTAATAGACTTAAGTGATGTTTTCTATATCCTAAACAGTTTTAAGTAATTTAAATATTTATTTTTGTTTCTCATATTCTTACAGTTTTATGTAAAATGCGAAGTGGCAAAAAACTCAAAGCTGTGGAAGCAAAAAAAACACGTTTATGCGTAGTAAGACTGCCAGACATTAGGCAAACTACAAACAGAAAAGTCAATTCAACTCCTAACAGCGTAAAATTAACACCAACAGACGATAAAAAATTCAAAGGTCCACTCAAAAAACGTCCAATATCAGATATTTCAACTCCAAAAACTTCAGCATCCATAATGCCACCCAAATCGAAAAATAAGCCTGGTAGACCATCGTTAAAAAATATTGTTATTGACTCACCACCCCCCACTATTGCAGCAGGAAGATCGCGTCGTGCTATCAAGCCAAATCCAAAATATGCAAGTGATGACTTAGTAACACCAAAGTTAATAAAAAATGTGGCTTTATTGGGAGCAAGTGCAAGTAAGAAGACTACTCCATCGGAAAAGCAACGAAAAGAGTCTTCAAGCAGCGACGATTTCTTCAATAAAGAATCTGATACTGATGAGATTATAAATTTGGACAAGGAAGTAAAGATTATTGACAAAAGTAGGGATAGTGATGAGGACTTTATGGAGATTGAAGAAGAACCTGTAATTCAACCAAAACGACGAGGACGTCCACGTAAAGTAGATAAAGTACAAACTCCACGATTGAGTCAATCGGTCAAAGTTGGACAAATATCGCGTAATACACCAGTTAATAAATCTACACCATCACAACTACAACAATTACGTAAAACGTTCGCATCCAGTGTTAAACGAATTAGTGAAACAAATTTGAAAAGAGCTCTCGAATCAACCGAAGAGAGTGATAATGATAGCGTCAGCACTCGTAAAAAGTTGCTATTATCTGCTGGAATGACACTTACAAAATTTAAAACGATTGAGAAGGAAGAAAAGAAAGAACCACAATTAAAGCAATCGTTTCTTCAAAGTCGTAAATCTTTAAATTTAAATGCAATAAATAATAATAAGAGCGTTAACAAATTAAGTTCTATTCAACAACATGCGTTGGCAATTCAAGAAAAACGAAAAATGTTAGAAAAAACAATTAATAAAACAAATTTAACACCACCTTCCTCAGATTTACAGTTAAACCAAATCTCTGCAAATAAAACGCTAAACTTATTAAAAGCCTCTGCCGAAAAACGGCGTAGTTCTTCACCCTCTTCGAAAAATTTATTGGATAAAAGATCGAAAGAGGAAGACAAATTATATGTTGTAGAACCAAGTTCCGCAAATAAACCGAAGGAAGCAATGCCAACATTTACAATTGTAAATATAAATGATATCATTAATAAAAAAGGAGACGTTCTAATATCACAAACAGATGCGAATGTTACCACGAAAGTTAGTAAAGACGAAAGTCCTAGTACTAGTTCAACAAAAAGCACCGTAACATCTTCAATAAGGGGACGACGCAAGGCGTTACATACAACTATTCGTTCAGAGAAAGCAGACTCCGATAACGATGTTACTCCTGCTACAAACACTCCAAACAATCAGAAGAAGGCCACGAAAACCATTTTGAATCATACCCTTAATAAAAAAATATTAACAAGGACAAATGCACAAAATTCAGCTGCGAAACCTGCACCAGTAGAAAAACCAGCTCCACGTATATTAAATTCAGTAGTAGCGAAGAAAATGCAGCCTGTCCGACCGATGATAGCAAATCCGGATGATTCAGCTGATGAAAGTTTTCCACTCTCTCTCGGCGATGAAGAGGAATTTGAGGATGATTTAGATATTGATAAACCGCAGTATCACAATAAAAAAACTATTCCTACTAAGGAAAATTTATCAGCTATAAATAATCGCTTACCACAAAAAATGGCACAAAAAACGACTCCAGAAAAAGTTGTTATTTCACGACACGGCGACAAAATAATAAAAAAAATTACATGCTTTGAAACGTGGTATGTTATCAATCCACCAGAAGAACGGGCACCTGTAACAATTCGTAATCAATTTGAAATTCCAATGATTAAATTAGCAAATAAAGCTAGCGAGGTGCTACTTCCCTCAGATAGTTGGAGTTATAAAGTTACTCTGTGCGAACTAGCACCGTCAGTTATTATGAAATCAAACCTTACTACTTACACTGGTGACTTAAGCGCACAAAATATTCCAGAAGAGGATCGTGCAAGGTACCAACCGTCATGTGTAATGTTTCGTAGATCAGTAAACGATAGACTGAAATCGAGATTACCTTTTGATCGAGCTGTAATATTTAAAAATAAAACATTCTTTACTAACATTGAAGGCAAAAATGTAAAATTAATTGGCGCGCCAACAACGATTCGGGACTTAAGTGAGGTTGAGACTTTATTGGAAATCGTTGACCTTCTTACCTTGGGGAGTGATTTAGTAGAGACTGCAACAACAATGCAGTAAAATATATTGATATTTTATGTACTATAATAAATAAATCTGTTGATTTTTGTAATTAAGACTTTGTATAAATGCGAGTAGATAAATTATTCGTTACGAACGTAATTTGTTTTTTTTCTTTTCCCAATATGAAATCTTATATTACAATTATCTTTGTAACACATATTGTTAGAGTTGCATCATACGCATATATTAGTTACATTTTTAAAATATGGGCGCAGCATAACGCGTTCATTATTTTGAACTTAACATTATCCAAGATTGTTAAATTGCGTTCAAATATATTAAAAAATCTTTAGTCTAATAATATGGTTTTCTAAATAATTAGAAATTCATTTATGATATAATGTAATTTATGAAATCGAGATAGTTTTCTATAGAATTAAAAGTGTAATAAAAATTTAAACTTATTAAAAAAGTATGTTTTGAAATCAACAAATATTGTTATATATATTTACTTTCCTTATGTAAAATGAATATATTCAATAAAGGATATAAATTCCAATTTTGGCAATTTTTAATAAGTGTGGCAACTCTTTATGAGTACGTTCAGCATTTAATTCTTTTTTAGTTTTCAAATATTTTGTTTTTATTTTAATTAATATTTTATTTATTAATTAATAATAAATATAAAAATAAATATCTTTTAAACGATTTAATCGTCTCAGTAAAATAGGTAAGTCAGTTTTTATGAAACCAGATTTCATTAATTAATTACATTAATTTATATAAATGTTAAAAAACATTCGGGAATTAGCAATGAGTTAAACACATATAATATTAATTAATATTTATTTTCTTACGAATTATTTTTTTGTTTAAATATAATAATAAATTCAATTTTAATATAATTATCCAACTTAATTATTTAACTTAAGCTACTGTATTAGAAAGTTACTGCGCCTTCTCACTTGCTCATCAACACCTTGAATTTCTAATAATAATTAATAATTGGAGCAGCGATCCAAAAATTAAAACGAAATAATAATTGAATGTGTTCTATTCCTTAAAATTTATAACAAAACCTTTATATATATTATATAATTACACATTTTTGTTTTTTTATGTAATACTTTAATTCAAATATATTTATCCATAACAATAATAAGTAAG